CTGCTGCCAACAACAGGCTGGTCAGAACATGCAGTTCTTCTCATAGACTCTTGATGGTCGTCATCGGTCACCGTCAAAGTGTTCGAAGTCTGACATGTACTATGTTCTCGTACCGCTTTCTTTTCTTACTGTCTTTCGTCTGTGTACGATGTGACTAATAAACTGAGCCAAGATATTTGTTGATTCTTGACGAACTTCCTTATGGCAGTATGTCGCCAGTACTTTCGTTCAAATCACCTTTTCGGTGCTAGATTTTCTTTGGTGTTAGTTTCAGGTGTTTTCGTTCATTGGTCGCCATAGAGAAGCAGGTAAAGAAATTCGCTTGCAATAATATTAAGAAATTTTGTACAGTATGAATGTTAATTGCTATTATGTGTATATCGAGAGAGGAGTGGAGAGTTTGAAGCAATTGAAAATTCCAGACAATTTGACTTCTGTATCGGTGATTATACGTCACAGGAAGGGAAACAGAGGATTTGAAAAATTACACACTAATCAGTTTCTTACCAATCATTACTAGATCCTCATGAAGGTGCTGAAAAATAGACTTAAAGAAAAATTGGATCCTACATAGCCATAGGAGTAAGTAGTTTTCAGAAGTGATTAACCATCTTCAGGTCGATTTCGAAAAGGATTTAGGCTTAGTCTACATCCGTTTTGTACTAGATTCCTTGAGGAACCAGGGAATCAAAGACATCTCATCGTCAGGATTTACATGAAAACAAAGCAAATTCATATACAAAATGGTGTCTGACAGTGTGTTGTTTTATCACTGATTATTTGCAGCAGTCCTACAAGAGTTTTTCGGGACATTCCATTGAGAAAACCAAAGCTAAAAACAAATTGAAGCTGTTTAGGCCGCCTGCTATTAGCTGACGATGTTCCTATCCTGTCATCTTTATCAGAAGAACTCCAGTGAAGAATCCGCGAGGTGAGTGACGACAGCATGAAAGCTTGATTGAAGATGAACCTGAAGAATACTCAAGTCATGTTAACAAATGCATGACCGTGGGATCTGCTGATGTCGGTGGATTTGGGCCTGAAGATGTGCGAAACTGCGTCTGTCTGGGATAGATCATCGTTGCAACAGACAACGGATTATGGGAGAACGAGCAGAAGAACAAAAATGGCATTGTGCACTTTTGAAAGATTCAAAATCTTCTTATCCGGGCGTATGTCCTTGTGCTTGAAAGAATTTTTTCAAGTGGTACTAGCTCTCAGTGCTAATCTATGGGTGATGAAACGTGAACTTTAAGTGTGAAAGCTATTCATCAACTGCAAGCTATGCAGCATAGCATGAAAGGGGTAAGTTGCGAATAATAAATGAGATATGAATGAATGATAGAACGGACAAGAGGTTAGCGATGTCACTACTCGAGTGAACAAGTTAAGGTGGCAATGGGAAGCACATGTTGGAAGAAGCACGAACCAGAGAGACGTTTGACTTGACTCCAGTGGAAAATAAACGATCCGTAGGAAGACCTTCAGATCTATGGCAAGATGAGATCAAAAAGTTTGTTCGATCAAGATGGATAAAAATGGCCGAAAATAAAAGTCTGTGGCAAAGTTTTGGGGATACGTTCATTCAACAGTGGATTGGAAAAGGCTTATGATGATGTAAATCGATAGGTTTTGGTCTGTTTTTATTAGTAAGATCACGATATATACACACGAAAAACTACAAAAGTGCGGTAGAGACGTACAACAAAAGTAATTTGAACCTCGGTAAGGAATGAAGCTGTTGTTTCTTAAAGGATGCTAAAGCCAACGTTGTGAAATGTGGGTGACATTTTGTGCGAATATATGTGGAAATATATGCCTACAGGTTCGTAACGATTATGATTCGGCTTGTGGTAGTACATTCCAAGGATTCATGAAGGTGATGGT